GCCTTTGCTAGGACCGCTAGCTGGAAGATGATGGACAAGGGAAAAGTGAGGGAGAAGAGCCACTGGTCCTTCCCACCACTGGGACTAGGCACAAAGAGCTGTTGGGGTCCCCATCGGCCCTTCGCCCCGGGTTAGATTCCAGCAGTGGCTGGGCCGTCTTTCCTTGGAGTCAAGAGAACTGTAACCTCTCGTGGGACACCCGAATTAATCCCCACAGGACGTCCTTGCAATTCTCAGAACCTATCATCCCGCACAGCACGAGGCCCTGTGCAGTCCTTTGCTGTCTTCTCAAATGGAGATTATTTTTCCTCACGGACCCACGAGCCTGTGTCTACAGTCTCACTGGGGGAGGGGAGCAATATTGCCCCAAAGAGGGCAAAAATCAGGTCTTGGCTATTACAATGGTTTGTGGCCTTCTATATTGTTGCCTCTAAATATATTTGTGGTACTAAAATGTCATGGGGGGGGGAGACAGTTATGAAAAAAAAATGTCTAAACTCTCCCAAGGAGTGACAAAATTAAAGGAAAAAAAGGTAGAAAAACTATGTAAGCAAGCCCCGCCCAGGCTTAGTTGTAAATCTGTCTTGGATGAAGTATGTCAGGTTACAAAATCCATTTCACATCACTTTAGGAAGTCCTCTGTAAAGAGAGAGGAGTGGGCAGAGAGAAAGTCTACTCGTGACGAGAGAAGGTGGTAAAGACTGGGCAGGGGCTAGTTCATGGGCTGCCTGTAGCCCACTTCAGAGCTAAGGCTCCTGGCCCAAAGCTGTGGCCAAAGTAAGACCTTGACCTGTCCCTGAACCCCAGCCTCCCAAGCAGTGAGGTGTATCCTTCTCACACCTTTAGTAGCTCTGTATTCTCCGGAACCAAATCATTGACTCTAAAGCTTTTTCTAGTAATCAAGAGAAAAGAATATAAGAAGCATAGAGCAAGCCTAACATCTATATAAGCAAAATTTTAAAACTTTAGTCTCGGGGAAGAAACGTCCCACCTGAGTTAGAATGGGACATATTCCTAGAGAGACCACAAAGTCTCTTTCCCCTATTGGAAGATAACTTTCAGGGTTGGGGCTACCCAGGTCCCTTCAGCCAGATAGTCTTGGCGGCGAAATGTTCAAACAGCACAAGGAGAAATGGAGTAGCTACTCTTGGGGTGTTTGGGTTGTTTGCGCTCTTATCTCTCCTTGTTTTACATAAACTTCCAATTCTGTCCTATTCTTTTTAATTGTTAAAAAAAAATTTTTCCCCCTATAGAACTAGAGTGCAATGCTTGGGATTTAAGGCTTTCTAATGTTCAGAATCCTGTAACCAGTTATCACCTTCAACCCATCGTCACCATCTGAGGACAGGTAACTTAAGTCCCTCCAAAGAAGAGTAAAATTGCACCTGGCATGGAAATAAGGCCTAAGGTTTCTATCACCAGGGTGTCAACCTAGTGTGACTCCACATCAGGCAGTTCTGATGATTTTTGTCTGGAATATGGATATAGTTGTTTCCTTCCTCCAAAGACACCCCTCACCCCCAACATACCTATACTGTATGTACAGGGTGACCACACGTCGAGAAATTTGGAATAAACTTTTTAAGTGTTTGTGGAAGGGCTGAGGGGGCTCAGGTACAAGAGGGGGTCAAGGGAGTCCATGGGTCTGAGTGGGTGTGGACGCTGAGAGGTGGAGGAGCCTGTGGGTGTGGGGACTATAAAGGACTCTGGAGTGTGTGTGTGCGTATGTGCAGGCAGGGGCAGGGGCGGTGCCATGGGTTCGGGTCTGTGGTGTTGGGCCAGGATAAACTTCAAGTTGGTTGCATTTCAGATAATATGTGCAATATGCTTTCAGGCAAAGTACTCCAACGTATCTAACTGTTAACATGAAACATAAATCCACTCTAAAGTGTCCAAAATGTCTGGAAACAGAAAACAGTGTATTTGCTGTACTTTTTTCAGATTAACCATGAATCGATCCACTGCTTAAACTTTAGAGTACACCACCTGAAAAGACATCTGATCTAGAGGCTGAAAAAAACAAATTGAGCATGGTATTAGAAAATATAAACTAACATACAACTTAAAAATAACTTGATCCTATGTTTCTTAACTTTGAAGGCCTCTTATCACACAAACTGTAAGATCCAGCATTTTTTGAGAGTCTACTGTGTATGGAATCCTATTGTTTCATAACTATTCTTATATTTGCACAAGAACCTTTGAGTTCAGTGACACCACACCGTTTTCTGGATTAAAAAAGTGAGGCTCAAATAAAACAAGAGGCTGCAAACTTAAATGCCCACAGAGACAATAAAATGATTAAAATAAGGGGCGCTGCCCCATATAAAGAAATACCAGTTCAAGCTCATTGTTGCTATAAGCAGGAATTCAGGCCCAGTATCGCTAGGTCGTTCGATTTTTCCAGAGAAGCCAGAAGTCTGGATTTGTGCCAAAATCCTCCAATTTCTAGATATTGGTAACTAATTAAATTTTTAAACTGTGTGTTGGCCAAGCCAAACAGATGCACAAAGCAAATTCAGCAGCAGGCCTTGTGAACTCTGAATTCAGATAACTTGGTTAAGGTCTCACAACTGGGAAACAGCAGGACAAATCAGAACCCAGCTCAGCCCACCTCAAAAACATCTTTCTCTTAGGGTACTATCGATATAGCTGAACTGAATTAAATGGAATTTTGTTTAAATGACTCAACTTCTAAAGCCACTGGTTCTATAGAAGTGGCAGCTATAGGAGGCTCTAGAGGAGGTAAGCAAGTGGCCTGAGGGATTCTGTTGGGCCACCCTGAGCAGGGGGCGTGGCTAGAATTCTAGCTCTTAAAATCTTCACAGAATGCAGGCATTCTAACTGCTATCTCCTGTCCACCTTCTGGATTTAATACAAACAAAAGGAAAATCAGGAAGCTTCTTACCCCACCCCAAAGACAGTCTAACTGGAAGCTATACCTGAAACTTTCAAATACACCGAACCTCCTCTAAGTCTCTTATTCAGAGTAGCCTTTATATACCCTTTTCAGAAAGATAGGAGTACCCTTCTGACGATATTTACAGAGGCTAAGAGGTTTGGTTCAACCATGTCCCAGCATTATACAGCACTAAAACATAAATAAAACACCTGCAATCACTGTATCTCTAGTTTCCAAAGATTGACTATGGTATTTAAAACAGAAATAACATTTCACTTCATTTTCTACTCTTGTCTGTGTAAAAGGTTCTCCTGAAACAGCTGAGCTGACTTGCCTTATGGAGAATTAAAGAGCACCACGCATGCATGCACACATAAGCAGCCATTTCTATAAATGCCTGAGAAAAATCACTCAGCTGCATGGTTCAGAATGTTGGGAATCGCTTTTCTGCGTCCGGTGGACTCAGGTAGCTCACACTAAAACACAGCAGGCCTCCCCAGCTGGGCAGCTCCCCGAAGGAGAAAGTGCCTTTGCTCAAGGTGGCAGTGGGTGTCAACCGAACAACCGAACTCCGGGAACATGGCTGACGCAGCCAGGCCCGCCCAGCAGCTGTTGGTAACACCCTTGGTTTAATACACCCCTATTTCACCCCTGGCAAGCCACACTAAAGGTCACATCCCCCAATTCAGACGCGTTTCTTTTAACAACCTTAGAGATACAAAATGTGCTGTTTTATAGCAACCTGGGTGACAACCCCAAACAGAACCTGATTTTGCATTAACCACAGAGGAAACTGTTTTATTCCTGTGCCAGCAACCTCTACAAGAAGCACCTTCCAAAGGAAGTAAAATATGAGATGCAGTTTTGTGGCCTTTTAAAAAGCAAAACAAAAGAAAATCAACCAATCATCATTTGAAAACCACAGGCCCAGGGCTCCATCTTAAAAGTGCCAAAAACTACACAAAATGACAATACTTTTCCAAGTAACTCCAACAGCAACCTTTTAAACATGGTGTCAAGAGGACAGAGGGGAAAGGAGCTGCAAGGGGAAGAGCAAGCCCTGTGCTTCCTTGTCGGAACAGCTGTCGTATAGAAACCTGACTAAAGATGGTGAGGCAGCAAGGCCAAGTGTCAACACTTCCCAACTTTTTCTGAGTATGTTAAACAGAACCAACAGAATTAGCTGACCGTGGTACGGTAAGTCTCCAAAGCCCATTTTATCCTGCAAATGTCTTTCTAGCCACATTCATCTGGCCATCACTGCCTTTTCCTCTTTTGGGGAGAGACCATTCCTTGGGGCCTCCAGAACATTTCAACAGTCGTTACCCTACCTTGACCTCCAGCAAGGACCAAACCTCCTCCTCCCTAACTGCTCTATTCAGGGTGGAGGGTGAACCTGAGTCACGTGGAAAAAAAAATTAACTGAAATCTCACATTAAAGTGGCTAACTAGTCATGAAGTTTACCCACCAACCATCACTGGATCAAACTCCTCTGCTGCCCGAAGCAGTGTTATTTTAAACCTCTCTGGGGACTCTTGGCCAAATTTAAAACTACCTTGGCAAGCCCTGAAAAGTAGCAAAGCATACAGCTAAATGAGTCCTTAGTCATCCTTAAAAGGTTCCATGTAAAGTGTGCCGCATCTACCCAGGTTCTGGCCACGTCTCTGCAATCCCACACAAGAATCAAATAAAAGGTACGTCACTTAACTCCCCCACCCCAACCGCAGCCACCCTCTGCCCAGGTCCGGTAGCCCCGTAGTCTAGCCCCGTAGTCGCTGAGTGCGGGAGTCCTGGGGGGCGGGGCGGGACAGGGGAGGAGCAGTGCCACTCCCCACGAAGCCACGCACCAGGTCTAGTACTGAGCACTCACTCGGTCCGCCAGTTTAATGCTCTCCGCGGCTTCCAGAGGCTGGGGACGATTAAGGAGAGTGAGCTTTCAGTCTCTACACGGTTCAAATATTTAAATAGTTAAACAGCATCTTATCCAAAATGTTGGCACCCTTTAGGCCAAGTGTGGTGTCCTTAACGCCCAGGAACGCTGCCAAGCCAAAGGTTAACTAACCCCAGAGGTCGGTGGGAGAGGGAGACGACGCTAACCTGTATGCACTCTGTAATGGGCTTTGAGATGGGAGGATTTTCCATAGACTTTCCCACAGCCACTGTAGGGGCACTTGTGCCTCTTTTCGGAGGCGTGTTTCCCCTTCGCAGCCACTCCAGGGTGGAGGAGGGAGAGCGGGCTGGGCGCGCTGCCAGGATCTTGTCTCTCCTCCGGGCTGTGGGAAGGACTCGACCCAGATTCGGTGGTCACGTCGCTGTCGGATCCCATATCCTCATCCGGACTCTCCAGACTGTCGCTGCACACCGAGGGGGTCTGGATGGGTCGGTACTTGTTCAGGTCCAACAAGCTCTTGGCAATGGTGACCAGTGTACAGTAATCCTTCCAGGTGTCCCCCGGGTCACCGTGCTCCTTGGTCATCTCGCGCTCAGGTAATCGCAGCCGCTCGGCGTCCGGAGCTCCCCCATGTTCCGGAACCGCGGCGCGGTTCGAAATGGAAACCAGACACTGGGCAGCCACGAAGTCCATGTAGGCGGCCGCGGACATGGTGCGGGCGACAGCAGCCCCGGCAGCGCGGTCAAACTTGGCGGTAGCGGCAGAGGTTCGGCTTACCCTGCCTGGCCACGGACGCCGAACGAACGCCGCGCGACGGCCAAGGGGGCGGGGGCGCGGGGCGCTTCCGACTCTCTGGAGCGCCAAGGCGACCTCAGCCCCTCATCTTTACGTAACCCGCAGCGCCTCCGCACGCAGCCGCCACGGTGCTGAACTGCCGCCTCTCGTTGCTGCGGTGTCCTGCGCCCGGAGCAATCCCCCCGACGGGCGCGCCCACCGCTCCCAGCCGGCTTCCTTGGAAAGACGCCACACGTGGCGGTCGCAAGTTTATTCGACTGAATACGCCCCCGAGGCGCTGGAAGAGGAAACTGCAAGAGAGGTACACGCCCTCCGCCGCCTGTCCGTGGAGCTAAAGACCCAGGACGCTCACCCCACCACCCCGACGCAGGTGGCAAGGGTGGGACCAAGAACCAGGTCTAAGAGACACTTTTCCCCCAGTCCACTGACGGTTTCTGAGCCCCTGCTCTTGCCCCTCCGCACCGTTCCGGCATTCTCTTGCTCAGTAACAATTTCGCAGAATCCCATCACGTCACAATTCAAACCCCCTGCAATTGGCCAGTGGGGAGGGTGATTCAACTCTGTTTACTTTCTCCCCCTGCCAGTCAGAACGGCCTTTCGGTGGAGAGGTGCGTCTAGAGCTGAGGCGTGCGACCAATCCGACCGTTCTGTTTCAATGCCTCGTGCTACCCCTACAGCCAGGAACGCTGACATTTAAAAGGGTAACAGCCCGGAGGCTGGAAAGGAGCAGCCGCTCCTCTTTTGGAGTGCCTCCAGCTCCGGTAGCCAGTCCAAGCTTCCTGGCTGGCGTTCCAGCTTGCGGAGCTATGTGACACACCTTCCCTAGTCGGTCGCGCTCATTCTTTTAATAAAAGAGAACTTCTGGTTAGGTTTTCTAGCTCGCAAACAGTTAAGTGACTTCCTGCAAACGCTACAGTCCCAGCAACCAGCCTTCCAATCAAAAGTAAGTTGGTTGATGTCACTGACATAGGCTCAGCCAATCAGAAGGGCATTCCGAAAGCAAGCGCTCGACACTTGTAAATGCTTAGAGCTGTAGTGAAACTGGACACATTCTTGTGTTTTTTGTGTTGTTGGTAGTAAATTTGAGAAATGTACGGGGAGGGCAGGGCAGGGGTGATGATAAATGCAGTGTGAGTCTATAATTAAGTTTTTTAATTGAATGTCAGGCCAAGTTGCCCAAAGATAGACACAAATGAAAACGCAGCAAGCAATTCATTTCCCCCCTCTAGTTTTGGGATGCGGCATTCTTTAGGAAAGATTTTTAATAGTCCCTCCATCCAATACATAAATATGACTGTTTTATCTTAAAAATGCAAAGCTGACAAAGTTCTATTTTAAAGCACAGTCCTATTTTTGGCTATTTTTTACAATGAAACAGCCCATCATTGCTTTTATGATATCTCCAAACTCCTCTCCTTCTCTAATGTAATTTATTCTAAGTCTTTTGAAGCTATTGTAACCCGCCTTCAAATAAATAGAGACCAAAATCCCTCATCTATATCATTTTAAAAAGCACAAAAAATCATTATTAGCTCATATTCTTCTCCAGATCCCTGCATGACTGTTAGGGCATGTTTCCTTCCTTCTCCTTACAGATGTGGAGACAGGAAACGCAGAGAAGTGGCCTGTCTACCTTATCAGGTAGACAGTGACAGGCCTCAACCGAAATAATAGATATCCTGATCTCTAGCTCTCCGAGCTTTATAATAACTTAGCTCTTTGGTTTTGTGAAATATTAACGATGTTAAACAGATTTTTAACTGAAACCAGCCAGAGATCCTTAGCCATTGAATATGATGGCATTACTTGATCAACAATTAGTGTGGGACTTAGAGTCTGATTAACTCAGTTTGCCTCTCCCTCTTAATGAATGATGGGGTTGTTTTCCATCTTGATAGCTGAAAAAAGAATTGAGGGCTAATTTCTCTCGCAGAAGGCTTACTGTCAGCACAATTCACTTTCCTAATTGTATGTGAGTGGTTCCTGCTTCTATGTGATGCAGGTCCAGTGAGATCCAACCATAACCTCCATTGTAACACCAGGTTCTTGGCGTCTAAAGGAAGAATCTCAAATTGACCCTCCAAGTCAGAAGACTAGTGTAGTTTATTTTGATTTTGTTTTTGAGGTTGACAGGAAAATATTATAGCAGGTGACTACATGGGTGACTATAAGGGGGATGCTGGTCAATCAAGAATATATTCTATATACCAATCCCCCTAATTTTAGAAAAAAAAAAATTCACTAACCCCCAGGAGAATTGGCCTACTTCATGATTTTTCTGGGACAAACTCTGTCCCCAAGGACTCATGATCACTTAGTAATCGCACCTTTGCTTGCCTCTTTAAGGTCCAGCACAAACACCAGAGGGATCTCTCCAGACTCCCTATAATCACTGCTTGCACAGTCTCTCAGACTTGCGTCGCAGATGGCATTGCACTGGACACCTTCTGACAGCCCTGGAGTTGATACTGGCGATACTTCAGAAAAGAAGGAAAATCTGTATCTTCCTTTGAAAATAGTAATCCAGGAACTGGGATCCTGGAATAAATCCATCATCATAATTATTGTTTTTTTAATATAAACTTTCTTCTCCCTGTTTCTTGCCTCTTCTCCTTAATTTCCTTTAATTTAATTTTGTTTGGATTGGACATAAACCCTGAACCCTTCCAACTCATTCATTTCAGAGGTATAAAAGAAAACTGAGATTTCATACATGTGAATTTCTCTCACACATTTACAAACATTGCTGTTACTTGACTTAATTTTAAATATTTAAAAAATATATCTTCTTAAACTCAGCAACTCAGCAATTCTAAAATTGTAGACTACTTTCTTGTTTTTCTCCTTTTCCACTCATTCACTCCCCAGATATTTGTTTCTGTCGATGAGCTAGGCATGTGGAAATACAGAAATAAAAAGACGCTCTGTCCTCAGGCTTATAAGTGTGTATGTGTTTGTGTATCTCACAAAAAGTAGTAATTGCTACATTAAGACTTTTTTCTTGTATTTTCAACAACAGGTTTCCGTGCTGTATTGGGATGCATATTACAAGTTTTATGATTAAAGCCAGCTTATGTTGTTTTGCCAGCATGTAGTTATCATAATTAAAATTCTGGCAGAATAAATTATCCCAAATTAATATGAATCATTCCTAATTACAATGAATAATTTGCCAGTAAAGTATATATTACACCACATAAATATGAGGTCTGCTTCCCCCCAAGTTAGTCTTTATAAATACACATTTCAAATCCGCACAAACCAACTGGGAGGAGTAGAATTCAAAGACTATAACAGCGTTTCTAGTTTTTAAGTTTGCATTTTCCTCTCTAAATTCTGCCTAAACCTTGGCTTTACTATCCAAATTCTCAAGAATAATGGCCTCCTGGGCCTGAGATGAGCTGTGTTCCTTTAGACAACTTCTTAGAGGTATTTCCTTGTTAATTGGTGGGATTCGATTAATGCATCGCCACAGTCCCTTTCAAGCTCCAAATATTCCACGGATTCCTCCTCCCCTCCCCCGCGCCAAAAAAAAAAACCTAGGAAAACAATTGGGCAAGAGTTCTTTCAACACCACTTGTTTGCTGCACCGAAGGTCAGAATACTTTACTTTAATATCCCATCAATATTTAATGGGATAGCAGGCACAAATATAAATTGTTCAAAAATCCCTTAAAAACCTTCTTCCTTAACTTCATGGTCTCGCTTCTTCTTTCTCCAAGCTAGTCTGTGGGAAGTGACCTGGAGGGCTCAGAGAATCCCATTCTTTTTCCCCAGATAAATTTTCCACCCGAGCCCTAAATGAGGTATTTCTAGGCCGAATATAGCCTATTTCCAAGCCCCTACCCTGGAGATTTTTATTCAACCTGAGCCCAAGGCAGAGTTTCACCAACTAGCCAGGAGAGAGCTAATCCCCTGGCGGGAAGCGTTGGTTAAAATCGCACTGTGGAGGCGCTGGGATGCGCCAGCTCGGGCTTTTTTCATTCTTTCCTACTGGGAGGCGTGGATGGTGCGGAGCAGAGCTTCCAGCCCCTAGGCGGGAAGGAGAGAGAACAGATGGCCCGCTGAGGGTAGGGGATCACGTGTCAGACCTTACCCTGGGCTGGATCCAGACTTCTTTCTGGACCTAGGCTCACAGGGCGAATTTGGGGAAAAGCAGTTCATCTCAACGTAAACAGAGGAATTAGGAGGAGAGTTTGGAGAGGAGAGAGGCGGGGTAGAAGGGAATCGGGCTTCCTACAATGGCGGAGTTCCTGAATTTGAAATGCAATCAGGTAAAGCCCTTTGTGGCGAAACCCCCGGGGCCAGCAGGACAGTTAACACCCAGGGGCCTGAGAGGGAGGGGCGGCTCCAGCCAGCGCGAAAACTTGCACGACGCCCTACTTTGCTCTCGCTCCACTTAGCAGCCTTCCGCAAATCTCCAGGCCTCTCCTTTGCCAAGCAGAAAGGCCACCCGTTCATACATATGCAGGAGGATAAGTTTAGCTCACAGCCCCCCAAGCTCCGAGAAGCCCCGCGCCGCGCAAGATGAATCACCCACGCTCGGGGGCGGGCGCAAGGCCCGGACCACAGACTGGCGGGCGGCTTAGCCACTTGCAAGCCGCGCGCCCCGGCCCTGGCATCGCCCTTTTAAAAAGTCTTCCGCAGGCGGCCACCGCAGCAGCAGCCTGAGGAGGAGAGTTCATCTGAGGACAGTCCCAGTTCTCAGAAATCCCTTCCCTGCTGGAACACCAAGCTCCGTTTGCTGCAGTTGAACAAACTGCCCTAGATTGGGGGATGAGGAACCCCCGCCCCCCAAACTCGTGCGAGGAGCTCCGGGCGCCCGCGCCCACGTGCGCTAACCTTGACATTAGCCCCCGCACCAGGGCGGGAGGTGGAGGGGGCAGGAGTGGGGGGGGGTTGTCGGTCCCTGTGGG